CTAAGCTTCTTAGAGGGTCTTGTATGTTGAACATGTTTAATATGAATTCCACAATGTCCGAAAAAGCTAGCAAACCTCGTTCGGACTTGGATTTCTTTTGAGAAGTTTGAGGAGCAGCTTTTTTATTTTTTTTATCTTTGTTGGGCAATGGCGGAAAATTCTTGCTGCATCCAGGGATTGGATCAACAGGAGCCTTCGGTTTTGTTTTTTCATCCCCATTACCCTGGGAATTTGGCAATCGTCTGGAGGTGACTTTAGTTTTCTTACGGCGCACTTTCGGGGAGGGGCATTTTCTTTTTGAGGAACCGTCTATTTTTGAAAGTGCGTGTACCACCGTAGAATCACCTTCATCGGATGAGTCAGAGTCCGATTCTTCAACTGACAAAACCGAAAATTGGTTTGCATCTTGGACGGCTGATGCAGCCTTCAACATTTGAGCATAAGTCTGCTTGGAGCGTCCAGAGATTGAACGCTGCACTTTATCGGAGTGCTGTTTGTACATCGGGCACTCCTGCAAGGGGTGAGGATTCTCGCCACAGTAAGCGCATTTTACTGATTCTTTGTGGCAAGAATCCTCTTTGTGGTTTTCACCACATTTGCCACAACGAGTTTTGTTGCCGCAATGGCTGGCCGAGTGTCCCAGCCTTTTGCAGTTGGTACAATTATATACCCTCTGTACAAACAGTCGCACCGGAAAAAAAGCACCATCAATTTTAACAAAGTTTGGGAGAACTGAACCTGCGAAAGTCACCCGGAACGAGTCTGAATGTTTATAAACTTTTTTACCGTCTAGCAAAGATGCTGAATGCAGTTGCCTTACATCCAGTATCTTCACTAGCGCGGTAGCGAATGTCGAGTTTTTGAAAGTTCCCGAGGCATGTTTCAAGTCCTCGACAGTCAGACTCGCGTCGGAGACCACGCCTTCTATCTCCACATCTCGAGAAGGGATGTAGATGTTGTACTCAACACTAAACAACTCGTGATCAGCAATTTTATTTGCCACATCATAAGTCGGTGCTTCTACACGCAGTTTGTTGAATCTTTCTTTGTGTACCAAGATTCCCAGATACTTACGCAGCAAATCTCTCGTTATGTCGAGAGTTTTCAAAGGTTTATTTTTGGGCCGAAAAAAGACAACCCATGGTCCTTTCGAAGACGGTTCATAGTATCTGGTTCGCGTAACGTAGGCATCGGAAGATGACATAAGTGTTGCGCAAAAGCGGTGCGCAACCACTTAAGAAGGAAAAAAAAATAAAGCCTTCACTAATTAATTAATTTTAATTACTAGTAATTAAATTTTTTGCCCGACGTACGAACAAATCAAAAAGAAAAAAAAAATCGAAAAAAAAAAAAAAACTTATATCTACTTGCAAAAAGTTGTCTCACTATGACCCATACTCCCCTACCAGGGGTGAGAGACAGAGTCACGCGCCACGAGGCAAAATTAAACTACAATAGGGAGGCAATGGACTTGCAAAATGTATTGTCTAATACTTATGCCGGTTGTAAACAACCTATCAGCCGTTGCATCTAGATGGTCCGTTTGCTGCTGCTGGTGGTGATGATTGGTGTTGGTGGGTCGGCACGATGATGAAAAAATGGCTTGACGACCGGATGGATTACCGGGGTGGATTAAAGCTGGATGGCAACTCCAAGGGGCTCGGCCCATGGAATTCCACTTCCTCTGTTGCACACTGGTCACTTGGGGCACCCAATGGGGGGGTGAAAAAACCGCTCGGGCGGAAAAAACACCGAAAAAAACTAGATGCCGCGCGACTGAGACCGGGACGTTGTTAACCGACTGAGTGTTCAACTAGGAATGACGAGCGAGAGTTACAATACTTTCGGAGGGCGGAGAGTGTTGACGTTTTAGCACGCGTGGGCGTGAGTTAGACCATGTAGGCTTTAGCGGAGGTCGTCGAGCTGGGACAATGCGGAAAATAGCATCTTCCAGTGCAGCACTGAAAAAATCCACTGCATCATTCACGCTAGCGGCAGTTTCGATAAATTGCCAATCAATTTCCGCAAGCGCATTGTTCAATGCAACATAATCGGCCCGGCGAAAGTCCAAAGAGTAGCACTCAGATGACGACGTAAAAAGAATCGGCGTAGGTAAACTAAATGACACGACGAGAGTGGGATGATCGGCATCTAGATCAATCAGTGGCTCGACCGGCAAGGAAACAGAAGTTCCCGGTAGTGCGGAATCATTTGCCAGGACAAGATCTAGCAAACGTCCATTTCGGTTCTGAAAAGTATTCACTTGTGTGAACCCGTAAAAGTTAAAACCGGCCAAAAGAGCACAGCAAGCAACCGGCATATGCGAAAACAGTGGATCAATTAATGGTGTGCCACTGTCTGTAAAGCGCCACTGCAGACCAGCTTGATTGTAGTCACCAAATATGAAAGCGGGAGAGCAGGGACTTAATTGTGACGAAATTGAGCCTAACGATTCCACATGCTCACGGATGATCGTGCAGTCGTTTTTGCGGTCGGGAGGCAGGTAGATTGCGCCTACACTAAGCTTGCTTTGTGGAAGTTCTACGACAATCCACAGCTGTTCCAGTTGACTGGAAATGGGTGACGTACGAACGTAGCTGGCTAGTCTAGTAGATACTGCAATCAGGACTCCGCCATCGCGCGATTTTTGACTGTTTAGAGCAGACCGGTCAGTTCTGGAGCAATCACGGGAACTAGAAATCGAAAGGACATCAGGTACCGAAAGCTCGGAATCGCTAACATACTCGCCTGAGGTTGCAGGCCGGAAGCCCCCGATACCATCACCGACCACAGGACCGGGACGATGATGATGGCGGATGTCTGCAGCAAGCGCGACTGGGTCGGGAGGTTCGGAAGCTTCCTCAGTGCCTGTTTTAGGGTGTCCCCGGATCCGAGGAAGAGCAGGTGGCGGCATAAACCTGCTGGTAGTTTGCAGGACGGATGCGTGGGCATGATGTGGCTAGTGTGGAGGTCGAAGAACCGGAAACACAGCTAGAAGTTGAAGCGGTATCAGGCAAAGGAGAAGCTGAATCGTCAAAATACTTACCAGTAATAGCTCGCTGGAAGACCCCCGACCTACATCTACACTCAGGGCCGAGACGACTATGCAGAGCGCTGGCTGGAATAAGCGCGACTGAGGCAGATAAATCAGGGGCTTCCACAGTACTATCCACGATGCGTCTCGGTGGTGATGGTGGTGGTCCAGAAGCCATATAGGTAGCAGCATTATTCTTGGAAATCGTAGAAACATCATGAAGCGTTGCACTGGAACACGGAAACTGATCAGGCAAATGACTGTAACTAATGTATGTATACTAGCCTGAAGACGGTGCTTGGGAGACCCTACCACCGAACTCGACCGCAGGGCCAGAACGACTCTGATGGCAGGAAATAGAACGATTTTGATGGCGGGAAACAGCTAGCGCGACTTATAACATGTTATAACGGTTGTCAAATAATTGCAACACAGAAACCACCATCAAGATAGCGCTATAACATGTTATAACTCTGTAGTCTGAACGTACTATAAAGCTGGGATTAGACTTGGCAAGTCAAATGATCAACTCAGTTGAATTCAATTGACTTGATCAATTGACTTGCCCTGTCTAAGCCCAGTTTAAGTACATTGGCGTAGCTAGTGGGGGTGCCAGGAGAGCCAGGCCCCCTCCAGAATTATCTAGAACCCTCTCAGAATTATCTCGGCCCCCTCCAGAATTATCTAGCCCCCTCCAGAATTATCTAGACCCCATCCAGAATTATCTAGACCCCTCCAGAATTATCTAGGCCATCTCCAGAATTATCTAAGGCCCTCCAGAATTATATAGGCCCCCTCCAGATAAATTGTCTAGCTACGCCAATACTTAAGTAGAATTGTAAGAAACAAGTGTACATTTACGATCGTTTTCGCACTTCTCTGACATTTGTGAATGCCCAAGTGCAAAAATTTAAAGGTAAATGTAAAGTGCGTATATATAAACGGTACATTATTACTTGGGCATTCAGAGAAGTCTATATATATACGGGTTTCTTATTCTTATAATTTACCCAATTCTTGTGGTGGTTAGGTGGATGATCTACCAACCGTTTTATTAGAGTCGTGTTGATTATGTCTGGTGTCGATGTCAAAGCAGTTGGATATTCTTGATAGGGATTTAATCCGAGGATGATACCGGCTGGAGCTTACCACCGCTAGAGACGCCCAAAATTCTGCACCAATCTATGAAGATCGCCCGCTGGGAACAGGCACAGCGTGGCAGAATGTAGTTCTTTTTGTTCTAAATGCAATAAATCAATGTGTTGTTTCTAACTCTTTTAATTGTTACCTGTTTTCAGTAATAGGATGCAATTATTAATCTCTCTCTATAAGGATAAGCGTTCTTAAGTATCTCGTCAACTATGTGTTGTTGTTACTCTGTTTATAATCGGAAGAGTTTCTCTACCCTACCATGTTCAACTATCACTAGCAACTGTACTGGGGTTTCTGATTTTTGTTTTGTTTCTAATTTCAAGAAGCTAATAAGTACTAACTACAGTTTAAATGTTTAAGTGAAAAGTCTATACGTTGAATATGCGCCAATCTTATTTTCCCGATCGCTCCCATGTTTTCAGTGTTGCATACGAAATCAATGAAGGAAAACTTCCAAATGCACAAATAATTTGCATCATAGCGTTAACCACATACAAACAGATGTAAATCATCGTAACTGGTCATCGAACAAGCATCAGTTTAATTTAAATAATTCCTAGATCCAAAGTTTACTTTGACGATCCTATACATTTTACTTTTTCTTGCAGACAACGTTGTTTGCGCTTGTGTTCCGAAGTTAACTCGCGAGGTGCTGCTTTTGAATTCCATGACGATGTTTACAAGTAGAAGATGTTCGAGAGCTACGTCTGTTTGTATGTGTTTAGATTGTATTTTTTTGTTTGTTCTCACATTCAATCAATCATAACAACTGGTTATGGTTTTTTTTAAGTAACTTGTATTCCTTTTAAAGTGCTTATGTGCTTGTATTTGATTTCTTCCTTAGGCTGCTCTAAGAGCAGATTTCCCATAAATATCAAAAATACTTTTCTCTATTCTCTGTTTCGTTCCTTGTAATGAGTTCACTTTCCTGCTACAGTTCCTGATTTCTTTTCTCAAGTAAGCATCTCTTTTTCCTTGTCATTTGCACCATTTCGTTACATGCTTTGTGTGGGTGTTGTGTTTTTAGTTCCGAAATCATAAAGGTTTCTTTTTGTTGTACAGGGGCGTTGGTTTTAAGTGTATTTTTTTGTTTCTACACTTGTAAGTAATACTGATCACAGATTGTTGCACATTCTTTCAGATTTTTTACTAAGTATGTCTTCTACAATGTTGCAATATTCACGTTTCGATACTTCTATATTTTATCTTTTTATGTTTTTTTTTCCTGAATTAAAGGGATATAATCTATGATGAATGAATCTTTACTCTTTATAATTGTAGGTGTATGTATTATTTCAAATTTTCTGTTTCATGTAGCCTAACTTTGATTTCTTTTTTTTTTGTGTGAATTTCATTAAAAGGGAAAATTTAGGACAAAATAGGAGTTATTCATTTAATTTTCAAATTTACTGTTTCTAGCCAATGGTGTTATCCTAGTCGTGTCCCTAATAAAAAGTATTCATAGAAAAATATATGTATAGACTCTGAACGCTCGTTCACATAATTTGTGTGTATGATGTGTAACTGGTAAACAATTAACAAAACATTATTGTACTTCATAGAAGTTTCGTCCGATCGAGCTGTTATGTAAACAATGTATAATATGCATGGACGAATCGATATTCCTCTATAAGTTTTCACTAATTCTACCATACAAGATGTAAATAAGTGAAACAATGTGTCGAATGTGTTTTTTTGCACATGGTCAAATATAACAAACAGAACAAAATCAATACACAATACAGCTAGGGTTTATTTAAAGGGGTATTTTGCTTTTTTGTTGCACTTTCCTCCTAATGCTATGTCCTGTAGATTTCTAAGCAGGAATTGGCGCTTGTTCATAGAAGTCAGGTTCGTCCTCTGCTCCTTCGTTCGGTTGACTGCCGTCCAACTGAAAAAAAAAAACCATTTATAATCAGTGTTTCCTAGAGCTCGATAATAGAGAAACGCGAAGAAAATTAAAATTACTGGAAATATCATAATAGATTCTCGTGCGCACTAGCAACCCTGCGTTTCTGAAAGCAAAATACATTCAGGAATCCTTATTGGCGGTATCCCTTATTGCCGGATCCTTATTGCCGGGCTATCCGCGAATAAGGATATCCACAGCTTATGGGATTTTCACTATTAGGGGCTGTGGCAGTTTGTTTCTATATATAGAGATATACTGTTTTCGACGAAGTTGTTGTACTGGGATAGAACAACAAGCCTGTGTGGTTGGATTCAAGTTTAATTGGGAGCTACGCCGCTAGAGGCGCTTCACTTTTTTGTTACTTATGACGGGTGCTATAATATATGGATCATAGGTCCAACATAGAATATTTCGTGATCCTGGCCATATAGAAAATTACTGTCTTCAGCAATGTTGTTCAAGTGACCAAGTCCTTTCGGATGGTGGCCATATTAGTTCAGAACTCTCTCACTTCGCAGCGCCAGTGTGCATATGAGCTTGCTATATAAGCTGTATCTCATAATCCTGGCCATATAGAAGGCTATTGACTTCAGTAGCTTGGTAATCATGTCGTTTTGTATGGTGTTCATATAAGTTCAGAACTTTCTCACAACGCAGCGCTAGTGTGCATGTAAACTTCCTATATAAACTTATATGGCCAGGTTATATAGAACGTTGCTGTCTTGAGCAAAGTTGTTCAGGTGACCAAGTTCTTTCGGATGGTGGTCATATTATTTAAGAACTCTCTCACTACGCGGCGCTAGTGTGCACATTAGACTGATGCAAAATTTGACTTTTTCGCTCCACAGTGTTTAAATGGTTTCAAATCGGGTCCTGATTACCCTTCCAAAATTACAACTCATTTGGTTAGAAACAGACTTCGCACAAGCCATTTGAAGTTTACATGTAAATTACTATGGGAAATCTCAACTTTTTGTTCATTGCTTGCTTGTCTTTTTCCATACTGAGCTGCAAAAGAACTCGATAGCTATTCTTATAGAAAATTTTCTCAGCTACAACTTTGCTGAAGATTGTTTCTATGTAAAACGAGACAGGAAAAAGTTATTAATTATTTAAGAGGTTGGTAAACTTAGGACATGATCAAGCAGCTGCTCTGTAGGCAACACTGTATTTTGCAGTGTGACATAGTAGACATGATTTTTGTGTCCTATTCAACGCCCCAGAAACACCAATGTTGCCTGCTGAGCAGTTGATTGAGCATGATCATAAGACATCAGCGCATTGAACCATTGATAACTTTCGATCCTTGCATTTATTCAAAATGTGGTCTTGAGCAAAGATATAGCTGGAAAAATTTGCTACAAGTGCAATTGAAAATTTTGAAGCAGACTAATATGGTGAATTATTAAATTGACATGAACAAAAATCTTGGTTTTACCATAGTAATTCCCATACAAACTTCAAATGGTTTGTGCCATCTCATTTTCTCACCAAATGGGTTCAAATTTTGAGAGGTTAGTCAGGATCCGATTTGGAATTGTGGAGCAAAAATTTCAAAATTTGCGTCAGTCTTGTGCACATCAACATCCCTAATATGTTATTTCTGGAAAGCTTGTCCATATAAGATGTTGCTGTGTAATGCGAGGACACGAAACGGAATAGGTATGACGTGTAGAGAGGCTGTAAATCAATTTCGGACACAATTTTAAAATCCAAGATGGCGGTCATCGATTCATGAAAAACTGTCAAATACCCTACAATATGGGTATTTTCGGAAAGGGAACGACGTGTAGAGGCTGAAAATCTATGCCAGATGTCATTTTTGTATCCAAGATGGCGGCCATCGGTTCAAGAAAAACTGTCAAATACGCTACAATATGGGTATTTCCCGAAAGGGTACGACGTGTAGAGTCCAGAAATCGATGCCAGATGTTATTTTGGAATCCAAGATGGCGGCCATCGGTTCAAGAAAAACTGTCAAATACCCTACAATATGGATATTTTCGGAAAGGGGACGACGTGTAGTGGCCGGAAATCGATGTCAGACGTCATTTTGGAATCCAATATGGCGGACATCGGTTCAAGAAAAACTGTCAAATACCCTACAATATGGCTATTTTCGGAAAGAGGATGACGTGTAGAGGCTGGAAATCGATGCCACACGTAATGTTGGAATCCAAGATGGTGGCCATCGGTTCAAGAAACACTGTGAAATACGCTACAATATGGGTATTGCCGGAAAGGGGACGACGTGTAGAGGACGGAAATCGATGCCAGACGTCATTTTGGAATCCAAGATGGTGGCCATCGGTTCAAGAAAAACTGTCAAATACCCTACAATATGGATTTTTTTTTTCGGAAAAGGGATGACGTGTAGAGGACGGAAATCGATGCCAGACGTCATTTTGGAATCCAAGATGGTGGCCATCGGTTCAAGAAACACTGTGAAATACGCTACAATATGGTTATTGCCGGAAAGGGTACGACGTGTAGAGGACGGAAATCGATGCCAGATGTCATTTTGGAACCAAATGGTACTCGATTATGACAACTGGGTTAGGGAAAACGTTTATTTGATAAAAACAGTGATAAAATTATCACTTTTATTTGTTCATTTTTAAAAACTTTTGAATTAAAAATTGGAAAAGTATTTATTTTAGCAGATTCGAGTTATTTCCAATCAATTGGTGTATTTGCATTTAATTTCATCTATAAATGACAAAGTTATAAGCGTTCAAAACCTAACACCTTTTCATGACGGTAACAATTTCAGATTTTCGATTTACCCCCTGTTCCTTCCTGTAAGACGTAGTCTACGTCAAATTGTGTGGAAGATTGTCTACGTACAGCGAGGGAGGATCTGAAACCTCTCAAAAACAGTCTACGTAGTTTATGAACAACCTCTAAGTTACAAGAAGAGGTTGTGAAATATGTATTTGATACACAAAACCTCTCAATTCAATTTTTAGAGATTCACAATCAGCGATTTTATGATCGCTAAGTGAGTGAAAATTAGTGAAATCACTGATTGTGAGTCTCAGGAAGCAAAATTAACACGTTTTATGTGTTAAATAAATCCTTTTCAACCTTTTCTTGTATGTTGCAAATAAAAAATGTAGCCAAAACATCTAATGATTGCATAAATCTGAAAAAAAAGTTTATCTGAAATAAGTATTTGCAACCTTGGTATGATTGTGCGTGCCATACAATACACAATTTCATGCATTGCACACTGTGAGAAAAATTCAAAAATGTCTCAACATTCAACAACTCCAGTTCTCGCTGGAGAAACTTGATCAAATTATTCCTTCTATAATTTTGTCAGCTTTTGACCTAAAACGTCTCCTTTGTTGCGTACCGCTCTCTTTATGAGGCTGTACCGGCTGTACCGCATTACAAGCGTGTATGAGACCAGAGAGCTTGCTGCACGGAGTTGCTCCGTATACTGAAGACATCGGCTAAGCAGGGCTGTCTTGCATCAACGTAGAGAGAGCAAAGTCAGTGATGAAAAATATTGTATTACTATCTTCGTCGCATTCCAAGCAGCGCATGACAAATTCCGTATGAAGACAGTCCTCTTTTATTTACGTCGTGAAAAAAACTAGCTCAGTACGTTCTCTCTCTCTTAGATCTGTCGGTTACTCGGAGAGGATTAAAAACTGCACGTTTTAGTCAGCCGTTCCGTATTGTTTGACAAAACATGATGATCGTTGGAAGCAACTTAAAAAACTTAAAATGGGTATAATACGGATTTGAACCATCAACGTTGAGATTAACAGACTTGTGTCTTTACCACTGGTCTTCTGCACTTCTTCAACGCTTTGGAGAGTAGATAGGCTAAAGGAAAACAAGAAGCACTCATATGTCGTTTTCGTTTTTGCGGTGTAGCTACACCGGTGCTACACTGCCGTACACCGAAATATTTTAGGGTGTAGATATAGGATGCACCTTTGTTTACAAACAAATGATGTAGAGCTGTCAAAGACTCACGCTTACTCCTGCTTACACTACACCAGTGCTACACCGCAAAAACGAAAAGGACAATAGTGTGGTTACTAGTCTGCTCACATGCACGTTCGACGGTATTTGATTTTTTTTTGTCCATGCATGATACAAAAAAGAGAAGTGAAGGTAAAAGATGCGATAGGATTTGTTCACAGGGATTACTGTCGGTTTCTCTTCGTCAATGACAAAGGATGTACCACGACAATTTATTTTTGGTTTTCGTCAAACGTCACTGACCAAACTGACCGTTACCAACTCTGCGGCTAAGTATTAGAAATATCACCAAAATGAGATTTGAAAAAAAAAACTGAGAGCATTTTCAAATGTTCTAGAAAAAATGCGTTATTTTCTACGAAAGATCCTTCCAATAATAATGCCACATGCTTAGGTTGGTAGTATATGAGTAAAAATATTAATAATATCGAAATGCATAAAGGGGTGGTACCTAAAAAAAAAGTGACGTGTTAGGGCATAAGTATATTTTAGATTTTGACTCAACAACAACATTTCGCACAATATAGTCAAACATGATTAAATTAGTCTGCCTCAATAGACAAAGAATGCAGTTTATTACACAGTGGCCTTGGTAACTTACCGCTCTGAGTTCCAGAGGACTATATAGTCTCTCCATCTGCTTCCGGATTGGTACCATCATGATGAGGAAGAATGGGAACGCCAGCGAGATGGACGACGATTTAACAGCCCACAGCATGGCCAAGGCAAGAACCTGCACCACGGTAAAGATGTGCATCTTCCAGGAAGGTACCCGACGCACAAACGGCACCTGTGGATGATGCTTCACAGGCATGAAGAACAGTCGCAACCTATGAAAACAATAAAGCATGCAATCATTACTAATCATATTGGAGTAGTGGGCTGGTGAATCCTACCTTTCGAAGAATTGAACGCCACTCATGGATGCGATACCCATGTACAGGAACACACCGAACAGCACGGACATGGGAATAAGTCGCAGAATTGGTGCCATCGTAACCGAAAGACCCACCATGAGGGAAACGAAAAATCCGGAGATACGCTGCTCCTTCACGTCCGTAATGTGAGGAGATTCACCTGGAGCGTGCGTTCTAAGGAGGGAAGTTAACGATTAGTTGTCTTAAATAAACCGCAGCACACACAGCTGTAGCATACAAACCTGGACATGATTGTCACTGCGGACACGTGTGTAACCGATCGAACAGTAGCGGCACAGTGCCATGGCATTCCAAAGAATCCACAAACTGTATTCAGGAAGCAGAGTAGCACGATATCCATGTGCAGGCCAGATCCCTTCTTCAAACCACGCTCCGGTTTGTCCACAATCAATTCGGAAATGTGGGTTTCCATGAAGATAAGGATGTACACCAACAACGCTGGAATGCCAGCTACGAAGGGCATCCAACCGGGAACTCCTCCTAGAGGAATGATCCAACCGCGGCGAGTTTCATCACTTGGCGAAAGGCCCTCCGGAACACTCAGCTTCTCGGTGTAAACTTGTGGAATCATATAATCGACTAAAACGAAGATGGCAATAGAGATTGGCACACCGAAATCACCAAGGGCACGTCGAGCGTTGCGTCCCAAGAAGTGTGAATTTCTGAACAATTTAAGATAGTAGGCTAGCGAGAATGTTCCCAACGTCAGAATTGTGCAGAATAAGGCGGTGTTCGGTTGATTCAGGGGTCCAATGGAATCGCTTGGAATGAGCAAGTTATCTGACAACGGGGCAGCGGTGAAGTTTGCAACTGCCGTGAGGCTTTCTGCCAGTAGGCCAACTGAAGTATCAACTGTTGAGTTGGAATCGGTTTCGAGTAGTGGTGCAGGAGTAATTGTAACATTTTTGTACTGGTATTCAGCCAAGAGAGGATGCCGAGCATAGGAGTCGACCAGCTTCATTACAGTTTCAACTATATAGATCAATGTGATCAAAGCGGAGAAGATTTCTTGAGTGAATCGAGTGAATAGTCGTACGTAAACACTACCTTCGAAGGCAGACACAGCCAGAGCGATGATTGCTAACCAAACTCCTACGTAGACTCTCACTGTCAAGAATTCGAAGTCGTTCTGAATACAGAACTGATTGAGTGCTTCATCGAACAGCAGCAGTGGACCGGTGGTACCGATGATAACCAAAGGTTGACCAGAAAACACATGAAACACAAGTCCAACCATCGAGGCAGATACCAGCGTTTCAGAGATCCCAATCAAGTTTTGTGTCTTAGCCGATGCTAGACCACCGAAGGTGATGGCCGTTGACAGAGCAGCAAAATACATGAATATAGTAGCCGCTAAGGTTTCCGTATTCAATCCATCCTTAATATCACTCTTGTACATCGGATATCGTCGCTTAATATCATTAATTAGGCCTCCCCACAAACGATTGGTCTTTTCCAAAGGATTCTTCTTAGGCTTCTTCCCATCTCCATCGGCTGCCGCTAGAAGTTTCTTCTCCTCTTCACTGGTCAGTAGCGGCTGTTTGTTCTTAATCTTTTCGTCGATTGCCTTCTTCTTTCTCAATCGAATCATATCACTTTTGGCTTTAAGCTCATCGAACGGTAGCAACGCCTGTCGTTCCCACTTGCCCGGTGGTAGCACAATCGAATCATCCAGAAATTCATTGATAGCTGACAGCAGGTCCTTCCTATCATCTGCCCTGTAAGCAATATCATGGAAATGCTCGTTGGACATGAGTGTGGCAATCGACCGACCCACTTCATGGTAATCCAGTTCGGCAGTCTTTGGTCCCAAAAGAATGAACAGGAAACGCACGGGAATCGGCACCTCCGTTATACTAGGCATCGGGATACCTTCTGCCAACCGAACAAACGCAATGGTCGGCTGCTCGAGGAAATCGACCGAACCAACAAGCACAGTGGTAGCTTCAGCGCCCTCCGGAATACGCTTCAGGATCGATTCCTTCTGCACGCGCATTTTGATGTCCTCCTGCGATGAGGTGTACGTTTCCTCGTGCATGTTGATTTTCGTTTCACCATGACCATGGCCGTTGATTTCACTGGATGGTACGATCCGAGGCTTCTTGTCGTCTACGCTCTGGAGGGAAATTCGTAAATAAAATTGTTATAAACTGTTTCTGTACAATGTTTCAATAAGAGAAATATTTCAACGCCTAATCAGATCTACATCAAACGAAAACGATGCTTTATTTACATATAAAAACAAAACAATTAAAACTACATTAAGCGTTTGGCCAAATCACAGGGCGGGCAAGCAGACATAGCATGCTCGAAGCAGAGGGTACTACAACATTACCATCGAATAAACCTAAAGCGTTATTTACTACGACCTTAAGGTTGTCTGAAAAATGAAGAATGCTTTGAAGCTCGTTTCGATTTCTTTCGTTTGTTTCAGCAGTGCTGGACATTTTTCACCTAATTAGCCATTTTATGTGGATATTGTAAGATTCAGTGGATTTTAGCCGCCATGTTATTCCCTCGGCTATTCCTCATAATCGAGTAAACTGGGAGCGAAAAGCGCGGCGCACCGTTTGCCGCGTGAAATGTTTTGGAAATATCCCAATATTTCACACAAACGTGTCATTTCTGATACCAGCGTTTATTGTGATTCATGCGTTGTGTTACAACTACACTGAGAATCAGAAATAGCACTTAGGAGTATGCAAGAAGTGAGTCGTAAACGTGTAGGCTAGGGTGCCAAAAAATGAAAATGACCATCGAATTTTCGAACCGACCATATACCAAATGTTTTTTACCTGTAAAAAAATCCTGCGCAACATTTGGGCTCAATCGAATAAGATTAGGTGTTGCAAGATCGTCAAAATTAGAGATTTTTGAAAAACGAAAATTACCCACAGGGGAAACTTGAAATTTCTGTTAAAAACAACTTTTTCTCAAGTCATTTGGCATCAACATTTTTATATCCGAAAAACGAAATTTTATGTACTTTCCCGTAGGGTGATTTTTTTAAGGTTTCAAGTATGTGTTTGGCACATGAAACCTGTCAATTTCGCTTTCAAAGAGCCACAATTTTATGATCGTGGAATATTCACTGTTCATGAAGAGTGAATACTCACCGATCATAAAATCGCTGATTGTGACCCTCTAAATGCGAAATTCACATTCATTTACAACCTTGTGGAACCTCTAAATCAGCGCTGACCAACGTGGTCTCTGGATCTCTGGATCTCAGCAATGATGTAACTCTAGTGAAATTTTGTTCCCCATTATGAGTTTTAGTCTAGAATGAATGGGAAGTAAATAAAATGCAGCTTGAAACATGTTCATAGAACAAAGATACAGCCATTTAAAAAAGCAAGCTTAGAAAGGTCCTGCTCTAAATCATACAGGGTGTTTTATTCGAAGCAATAAAATTTTTATGTGGTTCGTTAGGGAAATTCAAGATGGCCATTTTCATTGGCACCCTATACCGTATGTCCCCGTAAAATCGTTAACTCCACTGCATATAAATGGACCTTGATATTTTTACGATAGCCTAAATCGTTACGATGCGCTATGTGAATATCCCAAGAACCAAATACCGTCAAACGGAGTATTCCAGGTATTCAATATTCAGCATTGAGGGTGTGTAACAGCATGTTTATAAATACATTGATCAATTGTATTCCATAGCATGTTTTTAGGTCTAAGATAGATAGAACAGTTACACGTAATTGGGAAAAAAGTGATTAATATTTGCTGTAGGAGAAATACAAAACTTGTTTGTCGAAGGTTATACCATCCACGGGGTAACTTGTAACAAGTAGTGTTGTATTCATGTTTTATATATTGATTTCGTTAAGCGAGCTAGTTTGGAGTTTGTGATGTAAATGTCAACTCAACTTAAATGTTTTCAACAAGTACACTATCGTTATTTCCATAAATGTCACACGTCCCATATGATTTGTATAGACCATTGAACATTACTTGTTTTTTGGCATTACATTAACTCATCTTTTAAAAAGTGTATTGGTCATCATTGAAACGCAATTTTGACAATAAAGATGAATATTTTGCGATGTATATTTTTTCTTTCTAATTTTTTACCATAATCTAAGGCATAGCAAATATCTTCACTAAGGTAGAACAAATAATGCAAGTGGTTGTACACACGTACAAATAATAATATTTATAAAATAGAAAACCACGGACTTAAGACACCACCGTACTCTGCACAGTTTCTAATACCGTGGTTGGATTTCAGCAGCAAAACCTTTCAAGATAATTGACATTGCAGGTTCCCTAATGCAATCACTTTGGAATTTTCGTCTTGTAGCAAGTTACTCCGCTGTTGCAAAATACTCCGTTTTACGGTAAATTAAAAGTATCTGAATCCGAATTGGATGCTACCATGATTTCCATTATTTATCGCGTTTCCTTATTTCGCTCACTCCAGTGATAATACGTATTTTTGTTTAGATTTGGCTTTAGGGCTTTAATATAATTTTATATATTTTGTCATGACCTCATTTACGTACCGTATGCGTGATAATGTTTGCACCATCGTACAAATAAGGTTCCCGTTGCACCTGGGCATACAATTGCCTTGGTTTTCTTTGCATGCACGTAACCTATAGCTCATACCGTAGTAGGCTGTGTATAAAAGAAAATGATTTACTTAGTTTGACAGTTGCACCATGACGAAGTGGCAGCGTATTCGTGATTTGTCCCACGCGCAAATGTCGAAAAAAGACATTTCAATCGCCGTGGGAGTGTCCCGGTGGACCGTCAAAAGGGTTTTAGACCGAGAAAAGAAAGGACAACTATCCGCGAAGGTGGCCACAGGTCGTCCGAGGTGAGCTCGGGTTCCGAGTGTTATCGCTGCTATCAAAAGGAAGATTCGGGTGAATCCAGTGCGTTCAATAAGGAAAATGGCAAAGGAACACGGGATCAGTGACTTTACGGCACGGAAGATCGTAAAGGAAGATTGCGGGGCGAAGTCAAGGGCACGGAAAAAAAAACTCACATGATTACCAACCGCATCCGGGAGCTACGAGTCGAACGATGCAAGAAAATCTTGAACTTCCTTAAGCGAAAAAACCGGTAATCCTGTTCACCGACGAGAGCATGTTTACCGTCGATCCCGTATAAAATTCCAGAACCGACCGGTATATTAGTTCTCTTCCGGTAAAAGACGTGGCCGACGAGCACAAGAACGTGTATCTGGCCAAGCATCCTGCTAGCGTTATGGTGTTTGGATTGGTGGCTTCCGATGGCAAAAAAATGGACCCGGTGTTCATTCCAGAAGGCGACAAGGTCAACACGGAGGTCTACATCGGGATTTTAAGTGAGTATGTTCTTCCGTGGATCAAAGAACAGTACGGTCCGAAGCCAAATGTTTTATTTCAACAAGATGGGGCTCCGTGCCACACCTCGAACCGCACTCAGAAGTGGTTGCAGGAACATGTTCCGTTCTGGGCGAAGGATATGTGGCCGCCATCCAGCCCCGATCGTAATCCGCTGGATTACTCAATATGGCGCGTCATGAAGGCCAAGTACAGCAAGCCTCAGACAAACATTGACCCGTACCAGGAGAGAAATGGATCCAGACTACATTATTAGAACCTGCCGTGCATTCCGGAAGCGTGTGGAGGCCGTAATTGCAGCAAGTGGAAACTCGATCGATGATACGGTAGATATCTACCACATATGGCAGATTATGCAAGAATACGGATTTTCGGATAAACTGACGCGATTGGCAAGGCGACGATGGATCGCGTGATATGCGTTGTTCGAGTATCGGGGACACTCATAAAAGGGGCAAGGTGATGGTCTTTCGTGTCTGCTTGAAAGATGGCCATGGCCGTGTTAAGATACTTCCGGATATTTTCGACACACAGATCGATGGAAGAAGCAGCAATCTAGCATCTAATACGACAAAGACGATAGAAAACGTTTTTGTAGCCAAGTTATTTACGAAAGAGAGAGCCGATGAAGAGAATCGATCAATGTAGATTGGTCTGTTAGAAAAGTCACGCGAGAATTGCTCAGATTGGCTAATGAAACGATGTGAATTCTAGAATTTGTCCAGAAAACGGCTCTAACGATGCAGTGAAAACTTCCAAAGGGGGCCTTCATGGCTAGTGCATTGGCGTGGATTTTTACCTGCTTCTCTGTGCCGATTAGTTATTGATATGGACGTTTCGGTTTGGAAAAGTGTTTGGGGGCCGTTCATAAGCTACGTAGTAAGTTTTGAGGGGGGGGGGTTGGTTATTTAAAAATTATCAATAATGTAAAATTTTCTACGCCGGAGGAGGAGGGGGGTCAAGAATCCCAAAAAAAATGTCCACGTAGTTAATGAACATCCCCTTACATGAGTAAACCGTGTAATTTAATCCGTCCCAAAGAGCAAAGCAAGACAGTGGCATATGCGATAGCAGTGGTGTGCGTTGTTCGTGAAACGCCACTGCAAACCAGCTTTTTTGTAGTCGCCAACAGAGCGGGGACGAAATCGAGCCTAACGATTCCTGCTCACGGATGATCGTGCATGCAGGTAGACAGCGCCTATACTGAGAATGTTTTGTGGAAATTCCACAACAATCCAGAGCTGTTTCAGTAGACTGAAAGTGGGCGAAGTACTTAGGTAGCTCGTCAGTCTCGTTGAAACAGCAATCAGAACGCCTCACCGCGCGATTTTTGACTGTTCATGGAAGATCGGTCAGTTCTGAAGACGGAATAGAAAAGTTGCAATGAATAGATCCGGTTATCCAGCCACGTTTCCGTCAGTACGATCAAATCATATTCAGCCTCGGCAACAGCTAAAAAAAACGTGTCGATTTTAGTCCTCAACCCACGGACGTTTTTATAATGAATCCGGAGGCCATTTTAGGAACGATTCCGGAAGCTGCAAACCGAAACCAAAATTTAGATACCGAAAGTTCAGAATAGCAATCATACTTGTCTGGAGTTGCAGGCCAGAAGCCTCCGATTTTTGTTGTTGTTTTGCTTGAAAGCAGCTTTTGGGCTTACTCGAGGTGAATCAAAAGCAACTCTGTATTTTTTCATGATTGGGAGCTGTCTTGACCCTTGGTGTAACACCACTATTGACACGCTCGGATATGTTCTGGATACCAGGTAAAATGGTTGGACCCTGAATTGATCCATTGTTTGCATTAAAATATGTAAAAAGGCTCAGAATTTGATGAAGGTGCATCAACAATAATTGTAAGTGAGTAGACAGTTGTATCGTATCACACGATAGTCCCCTTAGATATCGAGTTATGGAGTATTGACTATGTAAGATCTACCACCGATTCCTAGTCCTGACTACTTCAAATTAAAGGAACAGGATTTTTCAGTAATCCAAGGAACACATCTTAGTCCTTGTTGATAGTGACAAGACTCGGCTTTGTCCACCGAGGATGATCTTGAAACAAGGAAAAAATGAGTTAGTTAGTCTTCATCTATGTGATTCCTAATCTTCTATTTGTTGTTCCCTAGTTTGATTAGAGAGACTAAGGTTCTGATGCATGGTCATTATCGGTGTCATTCCTTAATTTTGTTGCTTAGGAATCCAATTTTGACTGACAAAGAGGCATGCCTTTGGAGGGTGTTTCAACACTCCAAAAGGTATAAAGAGCGGGACCTTTCAATTAGAGTCGGATCCTTGCGATAAATGCAAGAATGACAACTGTAAAAAAATCGAATACTTCATCATTTCTCAATGGTGATGGAGTAATACGACATGCACTAAACTAAGGACACGGGATATACTTCAATAGATCAAGTTACTGGTCGCAGTGGTGTTAGGTCCCGAACAGAGGAAAAAAATTGACTATGTATTTCGTTATCCATCCAAATAGTTTCTTTTAAATTTAGGATTACCTGGGCGTAGGACATTTTGGCTGAACATGTAAAATTATTTTTTGGTATTTTAATTTTCTTGACTTTGACTTAAAATCAAAAGTATCCGTAGAACAAACATTGATCATCACAAAAAGCTCTATCGTTTACATTTATTAGTTTTTGGAAATACTTTAATATTTTCGTTAATTTTTAGAAACATTTAATTACAGTCTCCTAGGTTACTACCAACATTTGTTTTCCTCTTTTGTTAACAACTGACATTGAGTAATCATTTTTTCTCAATCGCAGCAGTCAGAATTTACTGTTTTACTTGCAATGTAAACATGCCTGCAAATTTTTAAATTATCGTACACCATGTGCAACATACTGAGCTACAAAATGGTAAGTTGACAACCCTCCCGAGTCATATGATAACAAAAGACTACCAACTGAAACATGGACACAGCTGGGCTGCGTAGCCTGGGCAATGTTGCCAGTCCGGCAATAGCAAAGTGAAGAGGTGCGACGCGAACACTGGCGCGGTAACCATAGTAATAGAGGAAATGAGAGTGGAGACGACTTCTTCGGACAGCAGAGGGTATCAAGGCCTTAGCCTGATCGGTAAGGTAAGTAATATGTGACGTCCAATTGTAGGCAAGCCTTCTCCTTGCCACAAGTTGTTTTAAATTAAGCATAACCCCTCTCTCTCCTTAGAATGCTACGTCATTTACGCATGGTCTCATACTGGAAAAAGTGAAACCATAATAAAATTAAGTGTATTACGGTTGTCACCACTATTTTTGAGCTTTCAGTGTATCAGGTTGTTTTATCTTCTTGCAGTGTAGCGTAGGGTGTATCGCATGAATAGCTTTTACCCTTTTTCACCACATGGCTTCTACCAACATTGTTCTATAAATACGACGTTTACAAGACAGGAAAAATGCTAAGGTCAGGAAATTGATGACAAACGGATTCATTTTTGTCTTCTTACTTTCGGGTAGCTGGCAAACTTTTCATCAAACATATTGTTAAATAGACATTAACATGTAGCAAGAAAACTGGATTCTACCGAACAAAACAAGCAAAAGGAGGGAAGAGCAAACTGTCTGTGTTTTTTTCGACTTCGTGTTTTCTAGGAAGGGAAAAACTTTCTATGGGCAGATTGGAAAGTGAAAAAGAAAATGTTGGGGGCGAAAAAGTTAGGCTAACAGTACAAAAACAAACCAAAGGAACTAGAGTGGTAATCTAAAAGTATTTTATGGATTTTTTTTTTGTGTCAGTGAGACGCGGTCATTACTTTATTTACAACTGTCAGTGCGATAGGTGAGTTATTGCGCCGCATACCAACGGCACTGGTAACCGTGGTAATGGCCACCGGTATAGCGCAGCTACTGTCCTGACTTTCAGTCCGCCTGTGGCGTTGATGCGGCTGGTATTGAGGATGCTGGTGAACGCTTCCACCCGAGGTACTTCCATTGCTCGGTTGTCGCTGGACCGCATGGCGCTGCTTTTGTTGCTGTTTAGTTGCTAAGCTAGGACTAAAGTTGGGATGATGCAATGAGGGAGGGCTAAGGGTATAGCTTTGCGTAGGACTTACGAACGAGTTAAGTCTTCGTACGCCAACAATTACCTCACCGTTGCCATCCTCGGCTCGTGAGGATAGCGACTTAATAATTCGAAGAACAAAAAGTTGTTATCGGTAAGCAAAATCCGTTCCATTTGTTCGTGACCAGAAAGAAAGTGGAATAGCATCATTAATTTTACGAACTAGGAAAAGTATTTTTGGCAAATGTCTGACGAGAAACGGGATGAGCTCATAAACTGCAGAGTAGGCGAACAATGGGGTGACATGACTGACAGTGATGCGAGATGATGCTGTGGCTAGGCGATTTATATCAGATTTATTTTGTTGCTCGCGTTAATATACATAAAAAAAACTGCTAAGAAGTCAAATTTGCTTACGTTACCATTGATTCCACGACTATGATGATAAAACGAATACATATGTATATACATTTGTTGGCATAAGCAAATCAACTGTTTTTGTAAACAATGACTTCAATCACCGATCTCTCGCGAATAAAAGCTCAATCTCGCAAACTAACAACACAGTCTGGTAGGGGAGTGATTCCTAGTAGTCAGTCGGTATAGTTTGATTGCGAAATCGAGCTTTTATTCACGAGAAATCGGTGATTGAAGCCATTGTTTACTAAAACCGTTGCACCCAAATCTCAAATCAGTGCGTTAATATAGGAAACATCAAGAAAATGCGACAATATATTTTTGAACGGATTCATGGCCAATTAGAGTTTCCCAGATCTGCCATTTCCAGCGAAACAAAACAACCGACTAACGAGGGAAAAAATGGATGCTGTTTAGGAACAGCAGGTATCAAGCACAATCAACATTTATATCAGCAGGAGATGTTTGATGACAAATTTCTCCTGAAAAATAAAACAAACATTCACAGAGAAGCTTTACAGCGAATGCGACTGACACTACAAACCCAATTATATGCGTCAGTAACAGTAACGTATTTTTTAAGACATAGATTTATAACTTATGCTTGAACGGACATTCTACGTTTCTCTTATTTTGCACGTAAATATACAATTTTTAACGAGCGTCTGTTTATGTACAGTGCGTAATTTACCAATTCACTATCACGCTGTGGGTGTTCGACATAAAATATTAAATGCTCCATGCTTCGATCGTGAATTCTAAATGCGAGATGCTAAAAGAGAAGATATACATAGTAAAGATAGAGAAAGAAAAGAGAGCAAAAGAGGAAGGAAGAAAGGAAGAAAGAACATAGGACAGCGATAGCGGATAAATACAGAGAGATACCGTTTTTGCGGATGGAGTTTTAGCCGGTATTCTTTTATTTCAAGTTTCCTTGATACCTGTTTTTTGGAAATAAAGATACCATTTTGCGGTCATTATTCTGACAGGCAGCTAGAAACTGGGAAAAAGGAATATCGACAAAACTCCATCCGCAAACAACTATACCTCTTTGTAAGAATAAGCGTGTCGAAAGGGGGAAAAGTAAGTTAGTAAGATAAGACTTTGGTGAATTTACAAGGACGCTGCGCCAATTGGGTCTACTACGGAAAATTTACAGCACTTGTTTGGAAAGTAAAATTTAAGAAATATCAACGGCAATCCATACAAGTTTTCTCAAATGACGCAGCATCCAATGTTTGTTAACTATGGTTGTTTTAAGAGTGGTGAAATGAACTACTTTGATTTACTACTTAGTAGCTACGTTTGCATATGTATATAAAACAGGATGGATAATGGATATGACTATGTGCTTTCCTTGACATTGAATATCTGTGGCTGTCTCTCTGATGCATTTAGATTGCCCCTGCAATCGTTTTAAAGATTCGTCATCCAAATATTGTATATTTACACCGCAAACAAATAAAACAATTTGTTTAAATGTGCCCAAATTTCCAAACTTTTTGAAAATCAAGCAATATATTCAAAATCAAGAAACCATCAAGCCCGCTAATTGCTCGTTAATCGTTCTTATTCGGGAGCCTTAAAACATTAGAACTACTTGAAAGCTTTACGGGATTCTAAAGAGTTCACGGATCGTTTAGTTCTGAAAAAAAAAAATTTAATTTTAAGACTTTATAGAAAATCTGAATTATTATTATTGCTGCTTGTTATGTACACACATGTATCGACACATTCCTCAAAGGAGTAGAAATTTGTTTATTTTTAAATAATTACTATTCCGAAAACAAATCGGTTCGCTATCAATTAAAAATCTTCACGAGGTCTGAGATTTTTTAATTGCATGATTTTAGGTTCAAATAAAGAATATACACATCAAAAATTGATCTTGAAAAAAATCGTTTAAAAAAATAATGTGGTAGGTTCATCAGAAACTACCTTGCTTATCTCATTTAATATCGTGTTGGTAAGGTCAGCTATAGAGCCACATTTCAACCAGCTGAGTGAACTTTTCCATTCTCTTTGTAAATTTATTTTTACATACTGTTTTTCAGTAATTTTGATTTTTCAAACTATAGTTAATTTCCATATAATTGTCTTTTCTGCAATAATAATTTGTCCGATTTTAAAAAGGTTTCGAAAAAAAAAAGTTCAATATAAGAATGAGATTTTTTTTAATTACTGCCTTTTCCCATCATGTCACTCTTCGACCAATTTCACCTGGTTGAAATGAACCTATACAGACCTAAACTGCTCAATTGAACTTTATCGGATTCATACTACTCAAAGAATGTAACAAATAAATGAATAAATGTTCATCATTGAGGTCTTTATGATGGTTGAGATAATAATGATGTTCCAAAATGCAATACCATCACAACGCAAAACATGTAAATGGAAATCTGTTGTCAGATACACTCATCCTGATTTTCAAACGTTTAATGATACTGAATGATAATTCAAACATTTGGTATGATTGGTACCGGCTTTCATGTGATTTATGAAACAGAATTTGTAATTTTGTTACGACATTGTATTGAAGCGTTTTTGTTTTTTCATCACACTCATCATATTTTTTTATTTTACTTTATTCTTAGCTGAGGTCATACACATAAAAAAAATCTGAAATTTAATTGTGATGCAAACATTAATTCACTTAATCATTCATTTCATTTCACGCAAACGAGCAACTTGTAACCAAAATTGTTTACAAAGATGCTTTTGTATACAATATTTGCAACATTTCATGAAATATTACAGCATTTTACATGATTTATAATGTAAACTTATAGCATATGTGACGCTACATTTATTTGCATCATATTGAACAGAAATTTACACTACTTTTTCGAACTGAGACTGAATTTAGTGGTTCACATGAACATTATGTAAGCTCGAGAAAAATATAGGAGGTCCCTAATAAAAATAATTACCATAAACGAACGATAACCCCCGACTACGTCGTTAAGCAAATTAACCATAACATTTTTATTATGGCTGGATGTTTCCAACCAGGTTTTACTGTGCACATCCTTTACACATGGACTTTTTCCGGCGTTTTTCCGGCTCTCAACTAAGTGTTCTTGATACACTTACACAGTTATTAACTCTTAACCCTATTAAAAATAACCATAAATTGAGCTTAATAACGTGTTTGGTGTATCATCCAATCCATTTGTGGGATAGTTTACCCATCCGGGATACAGTTTCTTTATGGTATTTGTTTATTAGGGAAACCCCCAACGTCTGATACTGAAGAATGCTAAAACTATCATAACTCAGTCATTTCTGAACCGGTTTTTTATCTATCCATCTAAAAAAACGGCAAACTCGTCAAGTTTTGATAAGGTTCAAAGAATTTTGAAAAGTTTTCATTGACTGGATGGGACATGCTTGGTCACAGTTTTGGTCACGAACTGCTCATTTGCTTATAACTTTGAACACAGTTGACGAAACATAGTTCTTTTTGAAGTAGTGATAGAATAGAGTTTAAGCTTGTTAGAAATTCGTAAAAAAAGAAGGTTTTAGTTCTATATAGTAATAAACTATATTTGTTTTTGCGTTGTACAAATGAAGTGAGAAATGCTCGCTGTACATCTCGGACTTTAAGCGTAAATATTCATTGGTGTTGATTCAAATGTTAAGATTTACCTACTCTTTGCATATCTATAGTAAGCTATGATTCTAATCTATCAATTACTTTAATCCTCCATTACTCGCGCTGTTGTACTTTGTACAATACACATGAGTTTTCCATTGCCATTTTTTTGCTGAGTTACCAATCGATCTGAAACCAACGAGTGTTGATCTAAACAAGAAACACCTAAAAATGCGGATAATATGGAAAATGTTAATGGAAACCGCGTAAACTGTGACCATACTACGTGGGATTTGACTTCATTGATTACAACATGGAATACATCGAGATCCTGACCAGATAGAAAGTTACTGCCTTCGACAAAGGTGTTCAGGAGATCATAGCTTTGTCGCTGGCGGACAGTAGTTCAGAATTTTCTCACTACGTAGTGCTAGTATACATGTGATATATCTCGAGATGCTGACCAGATAGAAAGATACTGTCTTTCACAAAGTTTTTCAGGAGGTCAAAGTCTATTGCTTGGTGCTCAATAGTTCAGAATTTGCTCACTACGCGGCGCTAGTATACACGTGAAATTCTCATATAAAATATATCGAGTTCTCGATCAGATAGAAAGGTACTGTCTTGGGCATAGTTTTTTAGGAAGTCAAGATCTTTTTGTTGGGTGACAATAATTCAGAATTTTCTCACTATGCGGCGCTAGTATTTACGTGCTTTTCTCGCATATTCAATAGTCCGAGATCTTGATCAGCTAGAAAGTTGCTGTCTTCGGCAAAGTTGTTTAGGGGGTCAAGACTTTTTGGCTGGTAGACAGTAGTTAAGAATTTTCTCAACACGTGGCGTTATTATACATGTATAAAATATCTCAAGTTTTTGACCAGATAGAAAATTACTGTCGTCAGCAAAGTTGTTCAGGATATCACAAAATTTTTGCTCGTGGACAGTTGTTCAACGTTTTCTCACTACGTAGCGCTAGTGAAATGTGAAATTCTCGCCTGTGATATATCTCGAGATCCTGACCAGATAGAAACTCACTGTCTTGAACAAAGGTGTTCAGGAGGCTAAAGCCTAGAATTTGTGAGAAAATTCTGAACTACTGTTCACCAGCCAAAATACCTTGTCCTCCTGAACAACTTTGTCGTAGACAGTAACTTTCATCAAGATCTCGAGATATAGCATATGCGAGAAGTATACATGTTACATTGACTTCCTGAACAACTTTGTCGAAGACAGTAACTTTCTATATGGTCAGGATCTCGAAACAAGCCACATGCGAGAATTTCACGTGTATTCTAGCGCTACATAGTGAGAAAATTTTGAACTACTGTCCACTAGCGAAAATTTTGCCACGTAGTGTGAAAATTCTGAACTATTGCGCACCAAGCAATAGACATTGACCTCATGAACAACTTTTTCGAAGACAGTAATTTTCTACGTGTTCAGAATCTCGAGCTTAGCATACGCGAGAATTGTGCACGTTTACTAGTGCCACGTGGTGAGAAAATTCTGGGCTACTGTCCACCAGCCAAAAAGTTTTGACCCCCTGAACAAGTTTGCCGAAAACCGTAACTTTCTATCTGCTCAGGATCTCAAGCTATTGTATATGCGAGAATTGCATGTGTATACTAGCATCAAGTAGTGAGAAAATTCTGAACAACTGTCCACCAACGAAAAGATCTTGACTTCCTGAACAACTTTGCTAAAGACATTTACTCTCTATCTGGAGAGTATCTGCAAAAACGTAACATGAATACGAGCACTACCTAGCGAGAAGATTCTGAACTACTGTTAACCAGCAAAAAGGCTATGATCTCCTGAACAGCTTTGCCTAAGACAGTAACTTTCTATCTGGTCAGGATCTCGAGATATTTTATATGAGAATTTCACGTGTATACTAGCGCCGCTTAGTGAGAAAATTCTGAACTACTCTCCACCAGCCAAAATACGCAGTAACTTTCTGTCTGGTCAGGATCTCGAAATATTTTATAAGAGAATTTCACGTGTATACTAGCGGCGCGTATTGAAAAAATTTTGAACTCTTGTGCACCAAGAAATAGGTTTTGATCTCATGAAAAACTTTGTCGACGACAGTAACTTTCTATCTGGTCATGATCTCGAGACATATCACATGCGATAATTTCACATCACATATATTCTAGCGCTACGTAGTGAGAAAATTCTGAACTACTCTCCACCAGCGAAAAGGTTATGATCTCTAGAACAACTTTGCCGAAGGCAGTAACATTCTAGCTGGTCAGGATCTCGAGATTTTTCATGTTGAAACACATGTTCTCTATTATCCGTATTTTTTGGGGGTTAACTGTGATAAAAGTTTAGCTTGTTTAGTAAAAAACAAGTTTTTTAATGAATACCCTTGGTAACTCGGCTGCAAAATGGCAATGGAAACGCACACTGTTGTACAAAGTACAACGCGCGAGTACTCGTGTTACAAAAGTTGGCGCGAGTAATGGAAGGTTAAAGAATAACAAATTGCAGTGGTGTGTTCAACTGTGCATTCCAAGCATGGGATCGGGAACCGAACCCACCGCCTCCTGTTTGGTAATACCGTGCTCATAACCGACTAGGCTATGATCGAATATTGCGGAATGTTAGTTTCTCACGCAACTAAATCTGTTGCGAATGTTATTTTCACACGCACACGCAATAATTTTCAAATGGAACAATCTCTACCATGAAGTGCGTGTGCCAAAATTTCACTGTAGCCACTAGTAGCAGGATTTGTTACCTACTTGTAAAAAGCATTTGTAGTATGATAAGGAAAGTTGCGTGCTTTCATCCATTTTCTAGGTAAATATAAAATCGATAGTTGGTTGGAACATTTCGCTTATCACACATCAGCTGGGATACAGGAATCCCCCGAAGAGCGCCACTATTCCGTTGTTGCTAAGTCTGCGGACTGAGCTTTGGTTATTAGTATTGGGGTTGACACTAATCACATACAAAAAACCAGCTTGAATGCTTAGACAGCAGCCGAAAAATCGTTTTGGGTGAGTAGATTGAACCACCCACCGTGCTCACCAAGGGATTGCTGCCCTTCTAGTTGTTCACATTGTTATCGTTGATCATATTTGCGAAAAACAAAATCGATTATTCCAATTGGAAGGACAACATCCATTAGGAAGATTGACTATTCGTATTGGGACGCGTTGGAATGTGAATTCTAATTAAAATAATTGTCACTGCTACAGTAATCGCAGGCATATGGGTGGGGTCGCTCGATTGTTGGTTGGATTAGTAGGTATTTGCATTTATATAAATGTGACATTTAGAGATAATCATTCCGGCCACAACGCACCTAACTGGAAGTTCATCTTTCTCGTATTGAGGTGTTATTTTTAACATTGGATGTTGAGCCGCATCAACCACAGATATTCAATATCAATCCAGCCAGTGTCAGTGTACTGACTGGTTCTACGTTTGAACACATATCTACAAGTACATGCGCCAGCTGAGGTGGCATGCTTCTATCAATTAAAAATAGAAAATATATCCAGTCATTAGCTGATAATTGAACGATTCTCGCTACACACGTCTTGTGCCAATATGTAAGTAGGGATATTCATACACTGATAGGCAAAATAAAGTGCCCACCCCATCATTTTTGAAATTTCTCTCATTTATTTGGTTCAAATTCAAATAAACACACCGTAGTCTGTTTCGATGTCTTACCTTTATTATTCTTTTAAAGTTACACCTATGGAATACTGAAAATATAAAGTTTTACTTGAAGTAAAAGAAAATCAATTTGGATTGAAAAAGAAAACAGTGACAAAAAAAAGTGCCCACTTCAAAAATCGGTATGTTTTCGATAAGTTTCCATCGGAAAACCCCTCGATTGTTTTTGTTTTGAAAGTTTGACATGTATTGAAGCAAACGGGTGGAACTGGTGCATTTGTACACGTGATCGCATTTGAATCAGTTGAAAAAAATGGAGGACGTAGTGATTTCGAAAGCAATTCCCGTGTGTATCCGAAAATTGGTTGTTCGTGATGTGCAAAACGGTGAATCGCACCGGTCTGTCGCTAGGAAGTACAATATCAGCAAAACAGCGGTCGGGAAAATTCTGCAGAAAATGAAATCGTTCGGATCAGTGGTGGATCGCCCTGGCAGAGGCAGGATGCGCAAAACGGATGCGAGAACGGACACCAAGATCATGCGTGAAGTGAAGAAGAACCCGAAGGTAACTGTCCGCGAGATCCAGGAGGCTCTTCAGCTAACAGTTTCCAGTCGAACTGTTCGTCGCCGTCTCGTAGCACAGGGGTTGAACAGCAAAGTTGCTCGGAAGCGCCCATTTATCAGCAAGGCAAACAAAGTCAAACGGCTTAAGTTTGCTAAGGAGCATGCTGATAAGCCCCTAGAGTTCTGGAAAACGGTTCTCTGGACGGACGAATCAAAATTCGAACTGTTCAACCGGAAGCGACGGGTTCGTGTGTGGTGTAGATCGGGTGAGGAGCTTCAGGAGCGCCACATACAAGGCACGGTGAAGCATGGAGGAGGAAATGTGATGGTCTGGGGGTGCTTTTCGTGGGGTGGAGTGGGAAGCCTGGTGAAAATCGACGGGATAATGACGGCAGATTCCTACATCGACATCCTGCGGGAAAATCTGGAAGTTTCGCTGATCCAGACGGGCCTTGAGGAGAAATTCGTATTCCAGCAGGACAACGATCCGAAGCATACTGCCAAGAAGACTAAGTCTTTCTTCCGGTCATGTCGAATTAAACCACTGGAATGGCCTCCACAAAGCCCGGACCTCAACCCCATCGAGAATTTGTGGGCGATTCTCGATGCCAGGGTTGACAAAACTGGTGTTACCAATAAAAATAACTATTTTGAAGCCCTGGAGCGCGCCTGGGAAGAACTAGATCCACAGCACCTGAAGAATCTAGTGGAGAGCATGCCGAAGCGCCTGCAGCTGGTCCTGAAGGCCAAAGGAGGACACATTAACTATTAGGCTGGTATTCTTTTACTTTATTTTATGTTTTCTGGAGTTAAAATGCAGTGGGCACTTTTTTTTGTCACTGTTCTTTTTTACACCCATTTTGATTTTTTTTTCTTCGAGTCAGTCTCTTCTTTTTATCTGGTATTCTATAAGTGAAACTTAAAAAGAATATAAAGAATAAGATATAAAAAATACTACAGTGTATTTACTTTAATTTGAACCAAATAAATGAGAGAAATTCAAAAAATGATGGGGTGGGCACTTTATTTTGCCTATCAGTGTACGTAGCACTAATCGTTTTATTGATGTACACTGCAGTTTTAAGACGGATGAATCCTATTTTTAGACTTAGTTTGATGAAACGATATATGTATCATAATGTTCAATTAGGAATTGATAAAATTGTGAATTTGAGCCGTCTCTTTTCAAAAGTAAGTCTAGTTATGCTTGGATATGGACATATGATGCAACATAAGTAGAAAGGAATCCAAGCTACTTTGCATTTAAATTGCATTCTACATTTATGCCATAGACAGTGTACCGCAGAAGATATATCTATTATAATATATCCAATATATGTGGAAAGGAATGGAACTGTATGTATGACAATGTAATTCATCAGAATCGTAAGATTCTAAGCCATCATGGAAAATGACTGAAATATGTGTGTGTGTGTGTGCTTAGAATGATTCGATTGTCGACTGGATGATTGATTTCCTATGGATATGTACAGTTGGTTCGTTGAGGGATACTTATGGTTTGCATTTGTTTTTGGCAGAGGCGGAAAAAGGCGTGAGACACTTACCTGTAAACTACTGTAGCTGCTGTACTTTCGTTTCGGACCGAAATGAAAGCCACCGTGTGAGTGCTCGTTGACGTGACGATGTCTGAGCAAGAGGGCTCGCATAATCGTTGGTTTATCATCCTCGTGGATCAGCTCATCGATAACCATCTGTTCAAATATAGGTAAAATGTGTTACTTTTTGGGATACCTATCGTGAGCCAAATTGTTCTTAACTATTTTGAATTTAGGTAGAATCATTAACACTGCATCGATGTCATAGCTACACTCACCTGTTCCACAATCCGGTATGCGACCGAGGGCAGGTCCTTTTCCTCAAGGTCCATTAGCACAACACCAGTTTCGAGACAGCGGCGTAGATTCAACAGTGAATGGAACGACAGCGAGGCCACGTGCGGACGACCCCAACGATCGGCTCCTTCCTCCACGTCTTCCTCATACTTGATCCAACGGGCCGTTTCCTTCCATTCGCGGTCTTCACCCGATCCGCTGAGTTCGTCGAGCTGGACAAACACCTCATGCGGGCTGTGATCGTACATTTTCTTGAACTTGTTTGATGGAAGAAGATGCTGTAACTTGTCACCTTCCTTGCGGTTGATGTTGACTATGGATGGGCCGCCCTGGGTTTGCGATTGGGCGCTCACTTTATGGCGACGCATTGCTCGAGGGTCATCGGAACGGTGAGAGGTTAACTCGTCTATGTCGGCCTCCTGGTTGTGATTAGACGATGGAAAATTAATTAGCCTTTCATTTCCTCATCAACAGACGGTAGAATTTTGAGTTCGTACCTGTAACGTTGCATCCTCAGGTTGAACGGAAACCCTTCGGGTGGTGGTATTACCTCCCTCCGCTCCACTCTGACGCCTCCACTCCGGGTGGTACTCTTGTAGGGAGAACTTCCTCGACTTATGAGGATGATGGCGCCTGTAGCCGTCATGAAAAAATGAAACAGTAATTGTGAAGTTTAATGTGATGAAAATATATATATGGTAGAATATCCTTTGAAATAAATGTTATGCTCATTGCTGCTCCTTGAACAAAGGTTGCAAAAATTCTAAAGACAGCTTTAACGCGCTTCATATAGGTACTTACTCTGTACGACGCCGACGTTCCTCGTTGCTATCTTCAATTTGAAGCCCCTCAAACTGTGGCGGCCGGTCCTTACTGTCGAAATGGACGTTTCTTCGGGCGCTCGCATCCTATCAGGAAAATAAAAGATGAAAAAGTGTTGGTTACAGATCTAATTTCAATGTGCGTTTGCATTCCCCATCCTAAAAAAAATGTGGCTTACATTCAGAGTATATCTTAGAGCTAGATAAAGACGTAAATTGAATTCGTTTCCATGAAAGGTATCATTTTATGCTGCCCGTTATGGGTCTACCAATCATAAATAGGTACAGCAAATAACTCATTCCATTTCCATTCATCCATCACACCAAGACGAATTCTGTGTGCTGTTCTCGAAATCAATTTAGATGGAAATAAGGACACACCCCACCATGCGTAACCAAAGAGATTTGTAAGTCCGAAAACTTTAGCATTTTTTTTCATCATCAGCTAATCTTTCAATTTCTGTATTTATTTATTTATTTTCTGTATTACCAGCTTCTGAATTTAGGGGGGCTAAAGCCCTTCTGCTTGGCTAGATTTCATCTAAAGAAAAACTAGTAGCATTGTGTTTTTTGTGTTTTAAATTTCCTTCAATAGCCTGATTACATTTTAAAACAAAAGAGATAAAAAATAATGTAATTGCTTCAAGAACAGCATCATTTATAAATTATAGCTACATGAATTTCAGTTCTTTGGTTGTGGAAAAAAAAAATATCTGAAAAAGATCATTTTTCTGAGCATAATGATAAATTAATGAAAATTCCCATAGACTTTATCACGATTTTAAAATCATAAAATACAATGGAATTATTTTACTTTCTCAAACATGTCAATTAGACAGCTCTTCCCATACTTAAAGCACCATCTTATTCAGAATAATTCCTGAGCATTAAAATTGGAAAAAAAAATCTAGATTTTGAAAGTAATTTACGAATATACAATAATTTTCTAAGGAACCCAATTGAACATGCGATTTCTTCTTTCAAAAAACCTTCACCGATTTGTATAAAACTTTGCATAATTCTGTTTTTTGAGCATTGATGGCATAATCATTTGAAAAATGATATTTTTCGCTCTCATAAGCTCTTAATGTAACGCGTGATATTGATGATTATGTAAAAAAAAATGTTCACGACAAAATGTAAGCTTGTCATGTAAAAATATTTAAAACGATGAGCAATTGAAAATTGCGATAAAGTGTGGAACAAAAACCTTTGGTTCAATTTTTGAACTTTTTTCTAGTACACTTGTTATGTAATTTCTTCATACGAATATTTTAGACATTTTAAATCGTTTTCTGTACAAAGATTATATGAAAAGGCTTGCTAACAGGAAGTCAGGGCTGGTAGTGATCACTGCTGTCAAAAATATTGATTTTAGTGACCATGTTCAAGAAATAAGTGACCAAATAGTGACTTAAAATTGTAAACATAGTGACTAAAAAGTGACCTAAGAGAAGAAAAGTAGTTGTTCTGATGGCACACCAAGTAAGTGTTTGATGTTTTAGACTTATTCAATAAATATCTCAGAACACCTATGTACGATATGAACCTTTAAAGCGAAAGATTCAATAGAAAGTTTATGACCAAACCCACGGTATTAGTCAGGGTGTCTAATATCTGCAAAACCCTGGAAAACCGGGAATCCTCAGGAAATTTTATTTTTCCTTGAAGTACCTGGAAGACTCAGAGAATTTAATAATTTTATTACTAAGGATATAAGGATATAAAGAAAAGAATTAATATTAAAATACAAGCATTTAATTTTTCTCGTTACTTTCATTCACACTTTGAACATGGATGGAGTGGATAAATCTTCAGTAACAAATAAATAAAAAAAAAACAGTTTGTTAGTTTTTGAACATGCATATTTCCTAGAAATTTTAAATTTTAACTAGTTCTGGACTTAAAAGCGATAATACTTCAAAAAAAATTCAAAAATCTTGAGTCAAATTCCATGCACAGTTTTAAAAGCTCGTGAAATTTTATTATAATTTCTTAGGACCTCATTTCGAGTTCTGGGAAAAAATCTTTCAGAAAAACATCAAATGCAATCTGCTTTCAAGGTAGTTCTGGGGAATTTAAGATTTCTTGAGAAGCCTGATAGTTTTGAGTAGAATTACAAGAAAACCTGAATTAAATTGAAAGCAAATTTTAATGAAAACTCTTAGTAATTTCTCAGGAGCAACTCCTTCAGAGGAAAATTCAAATGGTCTTCTGAGAATAATTTATTAAAGTTTGTGCGAGAAAACGAATCCAGGCATAAGTCCTTTGAATCTTTTTGAAAATACTAAAAGGAGGATTACAATTAAATCTGAGAATAACTCCAGATTATCTTCAAAGGAATTCGGAAAATAAATTCAGGAGAGTTTTCCAAACAAAATTATGAGAAGAAATCTAAAGAATTTGTGAGGAAAAATTCCAATGAATTCTAGGGAGACTTTCAATGTGAGTAGAATTCTAAGGAAAAGAGTGAAATTCAAACAGAAATCTGAAATGAATTCAATGAATATTCGGAGAATCTTTTCAAAGGGTTTCTTATTGTGGTGAATTTCAAGATATTTCCGAGGAAAACTAAAAGAAAATTGAATTCGAAGCTTCATCGAAATGTTGAGGTATATTTCAATGGAAATCAGAATGGACTATTTTGAGGTCTTCAGAACTACTTGAAGGTTCCCAAATTTGTCCTGAAGTTAATGAAACTGGTTTGCAGTTCTTTTTTGTTTGTGAAACTAGCCTGATGCTCACAATACTTCTCATTAAGTTCTTAAACTTCCCTGAACTTTATAGGACTTCCTAAAGTTTCCTCGATTTTTCTAACGATCATAGATCTCTTCTAAAGGTTTAAAAATTCGCTGAAGTTCTCTAAACTTCTTTAAAATTTATGTGACTTCTCTAATGTTAACGGAACTGCGTTAACACTGAGGTTCTCTGTTCTTTTCTGAAATTCTCAAAACTTCTCTAAGGTTTTTGCAGTTCATGAAGCTTGTTGTACTGAGCTGAATTTAATTGAACCATCCTAAAAATGTTTAAGTTTCACTAAACTTCTAAGCTAAAGAATCAAAGAATTAAATTTTTAACGTATCTGATGTTATCTGAAAATCTGAAGCCTTAAATTTTTACTAATTTTCTGAAACTAATGGAACTGACCTCACCCTGAAATTTTTCCAATTTTCGAAGCTTTCAAAACTTCTTTCAAATGCTCCAGCATTTTGCTAATGTTCATACAAATTCCTCAAGTTCGCGGATCTCTTCTTAATCTCCATAGATTTCTATGAAATTCTCGAAATCACTGTCCTTCTGTGAAGATTTCAAAGTTTTTCTAAATTTCTGAAACTTTTCTGCTCCCGCAATTTTTATGGAATTAGAACGACATAATTAATATAGTTCTATAATTTTTCTGAAGTTCTCAAGTTTTTTCTGAAGTTCATGAAACTTCCCGTAAATTATTGGCACTAATTTAAAACTTTTTTCAATAGTCTAGACTTTCCTGGTGGTATTAAAACTACCTAAACCATTATTGGACTTCCTCAAAGCTCTCTATATTGCCCTGAATTCATCAGTATTTTTAATTCCACAATTTTACTGAAATTAAATGATTTGCCTTGAAGTTTCGACAATTTTCCTTAAGTATTATAATAGTTATAAACGCTCACTAATTTTTCCTGAACTTATCTCTGCTTACCTGAAGTTCTCTAAATTTTTTTGAAAATCCTTAAAATTTTCATATATATATATTCATAATTCCCTGACGCTTCTGACGTTTTCGGATGAATCATAGAATTCATGGAATACCATAATTCCACGGAACTCCGTAAGTCGCTTCAAATTTGCTTATGTTAATGGGATTATTTTGAAGCTATCTGATCGTCGTCGAAGTACTCGGAACTTCGCTGAATAAAGTTGATCAGATGAAAATTGTGAAAGTTATGCGACGTACAAAAATATTCACTTATAGTGGACTAAACCCAACTTGAAACTTTAAACGCGATTATCTAGGAATCATATTTTCAAATCCGGTGCCAAAAAATTCTCGAAATGTATACATTCGATTCGTCCGATTCGTTTTGATTTCTGTTCAGTACTATTTTGTGCAGTCCACGATCGTTCGGATTTCGTTTATCATTTAATTTCGATTTTTTACAGCCGATCAAAGACAAATTTTAAGGATCAAAAATGGGCACTTCAACTTTGCAAGGCCACAATTTTGCCAAACAAATTTAAAAAAAACGAACGATCAAGGACTAGTTTAACACATGCTTAACGATTTGGCATGTTTTTTTTAAATTTCAGATGATTACATCACAAACCGCAGTTGGCACCGCAAAAAGCGTTTTTTAGAACATCGTCCACGGAGAGCAGCCGTGCGGGGCACCAGGACCTCGTTTTCACAGCATCGACTGATAAATGTACCATTTAATGTGTGTTCAATAAACGGCAGAAAACCGATTTTCAATACGTTGCGTCGTTTTCGAGAAAAAAAATCCAAACTTTCGCTTTTTTTCGGTCTTGCAGGTAGGTGTAACCCCTTAAGTAAGTGTTAAATTCAACATTCAATGGATTTGATTGTAAAGCTGTCTTAAAAACGTTTGGGTAAATTGCTATTATTTTGATATACAAAATAAGCATGTTTAAAAAAAAGCAAATATAAAATAGCTTGCTTATTATAAGCTTGGAATTTATCCGTTAAAGTTCTGGAAAACTCTGGTAATTTTATTTAGAAAGATAAGTGGACACCCTGTAGATAGAGAAAGACGATTAAACGTCACAAAGCAAAGAATGATCCATTAAAATTAATTCATGCTAAAAAGTTGAAAATAGTGACTGATTACAAGCAGGGTGCCTTCCATTCATTTTGACTAAAAACATGTTTTATTAAATTATGGAATAATAAGATATTATGATGATATTTTGTATGTGTAAGTAATAAGAAAAGATTGTAAAGTTTGTGTTTCACACATCAAACTTGCAAATTTAGCTTTGACAGAGTCACAATGAGCGTTTTTCTGATCGCCTCTTCGCGAAGAGTGAAGAGCGAAGAGTGGGTGAGATAAATTACAAAATCGCTTATCGCGACTCTCATGTAGCAA